GTGCTGGAAACGGGGCTTGATACACTAAGTGTTATAATACAATTGGTTAGAATTTTTTTTTTTAAAAGGTGCATTTTTGCTTACCATCATAAACTATGATGTATGCTTACCATACACCTAATCAATTCACACGTGTCCTTTCACTTAACCTTGGTTAATTTTCTTCAAAATTTACAAAGTAACATTTATTGTGAAAGTTAACTAGAGTTAGATGAAATAACACGTGTCAATTGATTAAATGTATGGTGAGCTTACACTATAGACTATAGTTACGGTGGTGAGCCAAAATGCTCCCGAAAAAAAAAATCAACCAATTGTATTATAACATTTTGTGTATCGGATCGTGTTCTCGTGCACATTAAAAAATCTCTCCACGTGAAGTACCCTAAAAACTTGATACGCACATTTCAAAATGTAAATGAAAATTATGAAATGCATGAACTTATTCCCTATATCTGTGTGGAATAATTATATTTTCGAGGGAAGATTACTACAGATCTGCATAATTGTTTTTACTCGATTATGTGAAACGTCATTAAATGGATACGAATATATACTCGGGAAACCCAGCACTACGTACTCGAAAAACTATTAATGACAACGTCATTGCATGCAGGTATTGCCTTATAGCTCGATCGTTTATAAGGTTGTAAGTTGGAATTGTGTTTCTGATTCCGACTACAAAACTTTCAAATTTGAATTTGAAAATTTTGAATCCAAATATTTTTCGAAAATTTGAAACAGAAGTTGAATTGCATTTAGAGATTTCGAGAATTCATAATCGTGTATGTTGGTCGATTGGCGCTGTGTGTCCAATTCCAACTTTTTATTGGATATAATACACCTGCTGGTTCATATATAAATTATTGGAAAACTGTTGTCATTAGCAAGGAGTGCTGGATAAATAATGTGTTAAAACGGTTGTCCCACTGGAATTGGTCAGATTAATTGATAAAAAATAAGGTTATCCACAATTTCAGATTAGTTTTATTATGTGGTATTCTAAACCACACAATGATTCAGTTATAAAACTTAAATGAATATATAAGGCTTAACCATTAATTAGTAGTAGGAACAAGTAATTGGGAGTATGAATTTTTCCTCCTCGTGGCAAGATGAAGCATGCATGCCACTTCGGCTAATGGCAATGAACAAAATCAAATCTATCTATCATGTATAGAGCTTGTTTGGAAACGCTTTTAAATTACTAAAATCGCTTTTGATGAGAGTGTTTTTGGTACCAATGTCTAGTAAAAATGCAAGTAAATCTTGAAAAAATACTTGAAGTGTTTCTTGCAAAAAATATATAACTGTCAATTCTTGCAGGAAGCACTGTAAGTGCTTTTGAAACCCAAAAACACTTTCACCAAAAAAGTTTTCATTCATGTTAAAGTACAACTAAAAGAGCTCTAAGTTTTTATTAAGCATTTTGTCAAGTATCATACAATAGCAACTATATCAAAGTTATAGAAATTGTGTGCAAGAGATGTACATTTTGGGTCGAGCAGCATAAGGTCTTGAAGCTTTTTTGGGCCCTGAAGTTTGGGTTAACCTGATCTAATGTTGCAGTGGGTTGGAAACAACGCTGACGTAATTCGTGATCAGTTTGTGACGGAAGCAAAACTCAATACTTCTTAATGGCCCGTAGTGCTATCTCCATTTTCCAACCTCAATAATTTTTTTATTGCACCAACTAGAAATGAAAGAATAACCCAACTTTAGTGTATATTTTTATTTTTAAATAAGATCATAAACACAAACTACTAGAAAAGTTGAAGTAGAAAAACAATAAGCTATGTTTATTCTAAATATTATACTAATTATGCCCCTCATCTCTAGCTTGTTCGTGGTTCTTCCTCTTGTAGGTAGTGACAGATTCGACAATAACGGCACAAATGTTGTGGTGGAGGTAGCAATCTTCCAGATTGTGTGAGTTTGCTCTTTTTGTCGTATTTTCTTATGGGCTATACTTGTATTTGGACTACTTTGGACTTTCCGTTTCATTTAGTAGTTTTTTTTTTTTTTTTTTAAGTAATGAAAGTTTCTATTTTGACCAAAAAAAAAAAATCGTTTTCAAGTTTTCTGACCAAAAGTAAATGATAGAAGTATTTTATTTAGTTTTGGTATTTTCCTAGTTCCGACAGTGAGTTGTGTGAGGAAGCTTCGTTTCTGGGCCCCATCCTCGTGAAACAATAGACGGGCAAAAGTTGAACCCTAAATTGTATAATGATATATGGATAAGAGGAAATGTTTTAGCAACATGCATATATTGAATATAATTTTATATCAATAAAAAAAGAGGTTAAGACCTTCTTTGTAAGTTTTTAAAAGGATTTACGGTATGTCTTGGTTTAGGATGGAGGTAGCCGCCCTTCCTCGGATGATTGATAATAAAAATGTACAAAGAAAAAAAAGGTGATATTTGACTTTTCAAAAGATGTGTAGGAGTTCTTACTAAAATGTTTGTTGCTGATTTATAAAACTTCGACTTATAATCAAAGTTGTTCATATTTTGTAACGACGGTAAATAGTTATTTTAAATTTATTGTAATTTATAAAGGGGTTTTTGAACATTAGTTGTGACATCCCACATCGCTCAGGGGAGTGATCCTTATATGTATATTATCATCTTTACCTAGCACGAGACCTTTTGGGAGCTTATTAGCTTCGAGTTCCGTTGGAACTCCGAAATTAAGCGAGTAACGCACGAGAGCACTCCTATGATGGGTGACCCACTGGGAAGTTCTCGTGTGAGTTCCTAGAAACAAAACCGTGAGGGTGTGCTGGGGGCCCAAGGCGGACAATATCGTGCTACGGTGGAGTCGTAGCGGGGAAGTGGTCCCACCCGGGCCAGGATGTGACAATTTGATATTAAAGCCTAACCTTGGTCGTGGTATGCCGACGAGAACGTCGGGCCCTTAAGGGGGGTGGATTGTGACATCCCACATCACTCAGGGGAGTGATCCTTATATGTATATTCTCAACTCTACCTAGCACGATGTCTTTTGGGAGCTCACTGGCTTCGGGTTCCGTTAGAACTCCGAAGTTAAGCAAGTAGCGCGCGAGAGCACTCCTATGATGGGTGACCCACTAGAAAGTTCTCATGTGAGTTCCCATAATGGGTAACCCACTGGGAAGTTCTCGTGTGAGTTCCCATAAACAAAATCGTGAGGGTGTGCTGGGGGCCCAAAGCGGACAATATCGGGTTACAGTGGAGTCGGGTCCGGGAAGTGGTTCTGCCCGAGATGGGATGTGACATTAGTCCTTGCAAAAGATTAAAATTTAAAAAAAAAACCTAGTGCTTGAAGTGTACTTTTATCAAAATTTATATTCAATTTTTGTTATTTAATGTGTATTTTTATTTAATCTCTCCACATTAAATTTTAATTTTATTAATATGCACATATTTAGTTCTTTAATTATAAATGAACATAGAAAATATTAAAAGAATTTTGTGATACAAAATATATAAATACATGATTGTGTTGTGCCGAAATATATATAATTGACTTTTTTGTAACTACATGATTGTACCGAAATATATTATAATGAACCTAAATGTATGTACCGAAATGTATTATATTGAATTAATGTACCTAAATATCAATACCGAAATGTATGTACCGAAATGTATGTATCGAAATATATGTACCGAAATGTATGTATCAAAATATATGTACCGAAATGTACGTACCGAAATATACGTACCGAAATATACGTACCAAAATGTACGTACTGAAATGTATTATATTGAATTAATCTACCTAAATGTCAATACCAAAATGTATGTACCAAAATGTACGTACCGAAATGTATGTACCAAAATATAGTATATTGAATTAATGTACTTGAAAGTCAATACTCAAATGAGAGGTATTATGTTTGAATCTCGTGAATGACGAATTCGATACCAAATTAAGTTGTTCATTGTGTGGTTTAGCCGAACTCCCCTCGCCTTAGTGTAAAATATATCGTTGTACTAAAAAAAATAAAAACTCAAATGTGTGTACCAAAATATATGTACCGAAATGCATGTATATGTTTAATGTACCTATATGTTTGTATCGATGGATATAATGAAATATTCAAATATATTAATGTACCTAAATGAAGAACATACGAAATTGTTATTGGACTGTATATTATAAAATAAAAAAAATAAATAGTTGTCTAAATGTAGACATTAAAATATTACGATAAATTATATTTAAATGTAATTAATACATTAAAATAGGAATAAAAAGATAAATAAAACATCAAAATATAACTAATAAATGAGATGATTAAATGTACTAGGGACTAAAATTGGATTTTAATCTTACACAAGGTTATATTCTAAAACTCATCTTTTTTAAAGATTAAAATGAAATTTTATATTTAATTTATAAATTGGGTTATTTATGCATGCTTATTTTGTTTCACGTGATGATCTTCTTCCGGCCGGTGTTGTCATTTACTGAGAAAACTGCCGCTGAATTATACAAAGTGTGAAAGGATGAAGTTTGTTATGCAGAGCTCATCATTTCTGTTCTTTTCTCCATAAATATATTCAATACAATTTGTCCATTTCAGGCGGTGGATTATTAATCAATCAAAACAAACAGCCAAAAGGATTGGAAAGTATCTTCTTAATTTAATCTAAGATCTTTTTTTTATTATTTGTTTAATTCATTAATCAATTGATTTTTTTTTTCTTTTGACAACTAATCAATTGCTTTTAAGTTGTGCTTAAGCTCGTTTGACAATGTTGTTAAAATAACTGAAAACTTTTATGATGATTATGTTTTGAGTTGTAAAATGCATTTCACAATGTGGTTTAAAAAAAAAACGTTTCAAGTGCTATTCAAGGGCAATGTCGGATTAGTATAAAAATACTTTTAAAAACATTTTCATTCGTTTTAAAAACATATTCATCTAAAAATTTCTCCCGCAAACAACACTTCGCGTGAAGGTGAAATTGAAGAAGGAAAAATAAAAAACAAAAGCAAAAGACGCTTCTACAAGCAAAACCTCGAACAAATCTTCTTTCCTGTCTTTTCTCTCTCATCAGTTTTAAACCTCCGACACCCTTCTTCTTCGCTCCTCTCTCCGTTTCCGTACACTCCCCCTCTAAAATCCGTCCTCTGCAGACAGAGATACGGAGACAGCGAACCTTAATTTCCTTGCAGTAGTTTCTGGAAAATGTTGGTTCAGAGGAGAGTGATGACGTGGAGATCGGTGGCCAAGTCTTTGCAAACACTTGTCGCCCACGCCTCCCTTTTCACGTTCACGATTCTCCTCGTTCTCAAGCTCCACCGTTCCGTCCGCTACTCTTGGTGGTTCGTTATTTTTTCTTCCCTTTGCATTTTTCTTGTCTGTTGTTTGGCTGCCGAGAAACTGAGAGAAAATAAAAGGGGAAAAACGGAATCTTTCATATGCGTTTGAATTTTTTTATTACCAGAGAGTATTAAGAGACTGTAATTTGTCGTCTTTTACTGCATTGTACTGTGAAACTAAGGTACCCATTTGTGAGTTTGTGAAGTTTTTACCTTGGTGGGTTCAAATTTCTTTATTTAGAGAGTGAATTGCTGAGAATCCCCCTCAATATTCGGGTAAAAAACTTGTGGGTTCTGCTTATTAATTTAAAAAGTTACATTCTTGAGCTCGTAGGTGATTCTATTGGGCATGCATTTTCGATGATCGTGGAAGGTTGTTGATCGAGATGTTTGGGTTTTATTTGATGTTTTTAGTTAGGTTTTGTTATGCTTTTTGTTTCAAATTCTTATGTGGACTATAATATTTCGGCATCCGCAATTTCATTAGCTCAATGAATCCATTTTGTAAGATAATTCAATCAGACTCATGCACTATCAAATCTATAAAAACAGAGTTGAAAACGTACGAATTCAGTTAGGAAATTAACAAGGTGTAAGCCATTCATTGTTGCCATGGTTGTACTGGCTGCTGCGTTTGCATTGTAGTTGTGGCTGATTAGTGAAGATTGTAGAAAGAACCTTTTGAGGCCATCGCATGTAAGAAAACTGCATATGGTTTAGGTTCTGTCACTTGTAGTTGTCTCGAGGGTTCTGAGTATCTTGATGAAGCATAACTATCTTTAAAACTCCCAAAGCTCAGCTGGCTTTTTTGGTATTGATTAATATATATTGTTCTGTTTTCGTAATACTGCAGGATCATATTATCCCCTCTGTGGCTTTTCCATGTAGTTGTAGCACGAGGCAGATTTTCGTTACCTGCTCCAAAGCTGCCTAATGATCGCAATGTATGAGATAGTATGTCCATTTTTTTTTTTTTTTTTTGCATTTGTCCCCACTGTGTATGATCATTTTTTTCATAGACGATCCAATTTATTTATTTATGTTTAAAGTCGAGCAACGAAAAAGTAAATATATCTTTCTTATGGGCAGTGGGCACCTTTTCATGCTGTCATGGCGACACCGTTGCTTGTCGCATTTGAACTAATGCTTTGTATATACCTTCAGAGCAGATATGGTATACAGGCGGCATACTTAATGACAAGGATCGTTGAAATGATGGTTCTTTATCTATAACGTGTTTACTTTTCGGTTGGTCAATAAAGGAATTATCAAACTGTCACTTATGATTACTTCTTGGTGAATTTTAATGTGTGCAGTTGTAAGCTTGAAGATTGTCTTTGCACCCTTGTTGGCATTTGAACTAGCAATTCTATTTGATAATGTCAGGTATCTGTATTTCTTCCAATCATATTTCCAAATTTGAACATCGACCTGAGATGAAAAATCTTGTTAATTGGTTCTGTAAGACTGTGTAGCTTGCATTGTATTATGTGATGTTTCTGTTAAGGAAATTGTAATACAGTTTAAGTAATTAATGTTTCTATTGTGTAGGATGTGTAAGGCTCTAATGCCTGGAGACGATGAACACGCGAATGATGATGTGATATGGGAAACGCTTCCTGTAAGTTTTCCACTATGTTTTCAAATGACGATTGAGTTGGGAGAGTGCATTTCTTGTTCTTATTAATAATTATCTTAAATGAATGCAAGTGGCGAATATGACTTGAAATATACGGTCGTCCATTCGCTCTGGCAAATTTGCAGTATTATTACGAGTAACTTTTATGTGGCATGCTGACAAGTGATAATTAAATGTGTTACTCGGAAAGAAGAAAAAATAATGGTAGTGAAGACCTTTTCTTTCTCTAATAGTATGTATATTGGATTGTACAAGTAAATTAAGGCTGCATTCCCTTGCACAGGCAGTGAATATAAAGATGGTAATTGTTGTGTGATATATTCCTTGTCTGTGTATAACTGTATATTGTATTTTTGGAAATTCATTTACACTAATTTACCATTCTTTGGCTTCCAGCACTTCTGGATTTCTATATCCATGGTCGTCTTTCTTGCTGCCACAGTATTCACTCTTTTAAAGATAAATGGTAAGTTTAGTATGAGTTGTAGTTACTGCGTGATATACTCCTTGTTAGCGTACAGTTATCAATAACATTACCATGTCATGATGCATTGCTTCGGCCTGATTAACTTTATTCGACGTACAGGTGATATTTCTGCTCTAGGCTGGTGGGACTTATTCATAAACTTTGGGTACTGTAACTACGTTTACATTTGTGTATACAGTAATGTTTGAAATTTATGTTTAGTATTCTTTGTCTTCACCTACTGAAGTAACCTCTGTATATCCCTTTACAGAATTGCACAGGGTTTTGCCTTTCTTGTTTGCACAAAGTGGTATAATCCAGCTATTCACAGACACGCTCACATTCAAGAACCTTGTTCATCTTCCATGAGTGTAAGATACCTTGACTGGAATAGTGGCTTAGTTGTTTCTTCAGATGACGATCAAGACGAGACTGTAGTATGCAGCCTGCAGGATATCGGTGGGCATATTATGAAAATTCCTCTAATCATTTTCCAGATCCTACTCTTTATGCACTTAGAGGTATATTCGGTGTTTAAAAGAGCCTATTTGTTGATAGTTTGGAATGTTCTCAGCATGTCATCATCTCAAGTATATTTGTCGTTTCAGGGGAGGCCATCGGCTGCTAGGCATATCCCAGTTCCAGTTCTTTTTGCTCCTCTTCTTTTAGTGCAAGGAACCGGTCTTTTGTTTTCTGCATATAGATTAACAGAGAAAATTGTTCTTTTAGTACATGATGGAGTTTTTTCTGTAAGATACTTGGACATAGCATCAAAAGTTCGCGAGTATTTTGGGTTCTATCGCCATGGTTCAAGGTAAGGCTTCATTTCTTGGAAATGGAAAATTTGAATGTTCTCTGGAGATCTCTGCTCCAACGAGCTGTAAGCAAATTAAAATTATTGTCTAGCCATTATTATTGGTTATGATTCATTTCATCCTGTTGGCTTGTTGGTTATGATCCATCCTGTTGGCAGGTTATTGGGCTGGTGGTCGATTGACGAAAGAAGTCGAGAGGAACAGGCTAGACTGTGTTGTGCAGAGGCTTCAGGGTCAGTGATTTCTTATCATTCGTAACTGCATTTTTTCTGCAATATTAAGCAATTTTTCTCCATACCGCCTGCTTTCTTTTTTAAACGATATTAAAGAGTCCTTGTATACTTTTACTTAGAAGTTTTAAGGACCTCAAAATGTTGTGTAAAATCTGTAGATGCTGCACTTTGAGTGCGTTCTTATGTGGTAAACATAGATGCTTGATATTCTGCAAGGCGTGTTAATGCACACCACATATAAAGGATTTCTTAATGGAATTATAATGGTCATTTTCTTTTCTCCTGAAATTACAATGTAGCTATTGCTATACATTTTTATCCTTCAGTAATCTAGACAGGTCCTGCTGTTTGTGCCTTGTATTGCCATCGCGTCAGTTGCTAAAATATGTTGAAGTTTTGATTCTTATGCATTTATAGAATATGTTGCAGTTTTGATTCTTATGTGTTTTTTTCCTTGTAAGTTCTGTTGCATATAAACATGCCCCTTACGTTGCATGAAAGTAGATGTATCTTGCAAAGTCATCATTGTCAATCCTTGCTTTGATATTTCTTTCAGGTATAACACTTTTTCACCTGATATAGTGAAGAAGTTGCCTAGATCGGACCTTGTTGAGGAGGTAAACACTATTTTGATTCTATTGGCCGACGGCTACCTCTTAATCGAACCATTTGTCTTGGTTTCGGCATTGTTTTACTGTCTAATTGATATTGGATACATGTAATATCAGCTTATAATAGTTCTTTAAATACTTCTATTTTTCTATCTCAGATTTGGAAACTGCAAGCTGCACTCAGTGAGCAAACAGAAATCATGAAATTTAGCCAGCAGGAGTATGAAAGACTTCAGACTGTAATGCTTCAACAGCAACGTTTAATATTATAAATATATACAAAAATTTCAATGTTGATTTCATAAATGTCACGAGCCTACCTGCTTTCGATGAATCCTGCAGGAAAAGATCCTATGTAGAGTGTGCTTTGAAGAACAGATTAATATGGTCCTGCTTCCATGCCGGCATCATGTTCTGTGCAGGTACCTTCTTCATGTACCCTTTCACAGCTACTTGTTTCCACCCTTACAGCATATTATTTTCCATCGTTTACAAGTTATGGTGATTTTACTCACCAATTCGGTGTTTTTAACACATTCTCAGCACTTGCTGTGAGAAGTGTAAAAAGTGCCCCATATGTCGTGTCTGCATTGAACAGCGAGTGCCGATATCTCATGTGTAAAGTATGCCCGAAGACCAGCAGTTGTTGCTTGTGAATTTCGGATACTAGGTCGAGACAAGCAATTGGAAGCTGGAAATTTTTCTTTCAACCATGCCCTTTTTGTTGTAGTATAATACCAAAAATTGTAAATATTATGGCGATATAGTCTCGAATTTCAAAAGTGTTGATTGAGCTTACTTGTCCATATTTTACACACAATCTAAGTCACGATTGAGAATGCGACCATTTGAAAGGTAAAAAGCTCTGTTCATCTTGATTTTTTTTTTTTTTTTTTTTTGCTTTTTGTTTTGGTTCGCAATATTTTAACCTAATTTAAACTACGGAAAGAGGAATTCTTTAATGTAAGCCAAAGGGCATGCACTATTCTCGTCAACTTGATAACGTAAAATCTTACTAAAATATTGCAAACTTATGGGAGAAGAAATCCCTCATCATATTGAATAATCAATCACCTCACATAATTTACCATACTTAATACATTGAAACATCCAACAACCACAAGAAACTGGAATCCTTCTTAACAATGTAAAAATGAAAATCCAGTTTCCTTGTCCAGTAGCCAAACCAAATTAGCATCTTCTTTGAAGAAACCCTAGGAACCCCTAAACTGTTGAACTTTCTTTTCTAGTGGGAGTAAATCAAGAACATGAATTTGATCAACAGTCTTGACTCTGATAGATTGATCAAGCACAAGTGGGAGTGACAGCCCTGGATTCGACGACGGCGTTTTTGGTGGAGACTTTCTGATCCTTCTCCTCCTGCACTAGCTCTAGGTTGTCCTTCAACTTGAGAAGAAAGTCATTGAAGCACTCATCCAAGGTCCTGAAAGAATCTCCAGGGTAGAGAGTTCCCACTTCCACATCACGAGGCCCCTCCACTGCAAAATTCACCTGACATCCTTTGATAAAGATGTCATGCGTGAACGATGCCACTATACTTTCTGGTATACGATTCTCTGCAATTAGTAAACTCTAACTTGTTACAAAGTACATGCAAACTTGCCAACCTAATAGGGTTTATATATATTAATGTTATATTCTAAACTAGTCTAATCTTCACATGTAGGTTAGGTCAGTTGGCCGGATTAATGGTGTTTCAGCTCCCTGTATCCAAACTTAATCCATGGTGCTAACTGACGTAACTTACATCTGCATGTATATATTAATTCGTGGCACCAAAAGATTGGTCCAAAACACATGCCTAATCAAATGTTGGTGAAGAGTAAAAAGGGAAGTGACCTGCAGCAAGGGCTAGTAAGTGATTTTCAGAGATGGTGATTCTAGGGAGAGTCCGGCCAATTTTCTTCTCCCACAGAGATGCAAGCCCATTGATGTCGAATAAATTGCTCGGCGGTCGGAAATGAACATTTTTGTTGATTGTTCGGATGTCCTTCACGGTCTTTATTGTGAATTTTCCAATATCCGTTCCGTCTACAAAGTAGGCTGCGTACGAAAGTAAAACACCAAACCTATTTCTTAGTGGATAAACATTGAACACTATACGTATTGTGGGACCGAACACAGTGGGCCCGAACTTTGGGTGGGTTAGGCACGGGCACGGGCACGGGCACGGGCACGGGCACGGCACAACAGCAACAGATGAGCAAGCACAATGGGAAAAGATTATTGCAATATTTATCGTCTATATACAGAGGAAGAACAAGAAAAAATGATATTTTTTTTATAATTTTAGAATTGTCTTTCTCTCATTATGATTTTAAAAGAAAAAAAAAACAAATTGACGGAATAAAAATAATCACTGTGTAGTGGGACTGGTTAGTCAGTTTATTATTTTCTAAAATATAATATTTTTTTATTATGGAAAATAAATTTATTCAAGGATAGAAACATTGAGAGCAACAGTTTTTAGTACAATCAAAGAGAAAATCATTTCTTGCAATTGTGGGTAAAGACCTATCCTAGTATAAGTATCATGAATGGAGTGTCAAACGCTAGTAATAACATCGACAAGAAAATTCGCCTCCTAAAAGATAAGAGTCCAAAATATAGAAGAAAACAAGCCTACAAGTAACTTCATGTCCTCAATTATAATATTCGATTATGAAACTATATATATATATATATTTTTTTTTTTGGTTATATAGTTTCATATTTTGTTCAAAAAAATAATAGTTTCATAAAAAGCAATAATAACTAAAACAAAATAAGTTAAAAATCAAAACAATAAATAATATATATTAGACTAAAAAATAAAAAATAAAATAAAATAAGTCATGGCAAGAGGCTAGTCACTAATAAATTCACAAATTAAATGGAAAAGACAAAAAAACACTTGTACCCCTAATTAATTGGAAAATAAATAATATATAACGAATATGTTATTGGTACCTACATCATTGATTTATTTGATACATTTGAATGACTAAATAATTATCGATTTAAATGATTTTTTTTTTTTTTTTAGAATGAACTTCAAATGAAGATTAAGAGATTAAACGGTTCTGATTATAAAATATCTACGTTAAAGATACATTATTTGCAAATAAAAAAATTAACTCGAATGCAAGGATTATCATATGATACAAATTCACACAAAAATGACTAGGTGTGTACCATATACCTTTGACGGTGCCATCACCGTAGATTTGGAACCGATCCAACGGTGGGAGAACCTCAGAAGGGTGTTTGTTGTCAAAGTAGGGCCAAGAGGCAATGGAGTTGCAGCAAATGTATGTGTAGGGCACCCCAGATTTCTCGACACAACGTCTAACCTTGCGTTTCTCCACATACATGGTGAGCCCTGGTTCAACCGGATCAGCCCTGTCCACATCATGTCCAAACTCCGAAGGCAAAAACCTCTGCAACATAAATTTTGGAGAAAAAATATATACAAAATCATCAAAAACCTCAGCAACATAACTGCCTCGTTTAATATTCCACTAAAAAACCTTTAATTGTTCCTTAAAGCATTTTTCACAGAACATCTTTTAAGAACAGTATTTTTTTTCAAAATATTTATAAAAAAAAAAACTAACGAAAATATTCTCAAAAACTTTAGTTTTAATGAAAATAACAAAATAAAAGCGTAAGTAAATAGTATCAGGAATGACTTTTCAAAGTAAAAATGTTTATAACGTAAAAAATGAACAGCATCAGGAGTGCTCCGTTAAGATTTCCTTAAAAAAAGTTCAAAAACTTGTTTTGTTAATTTTTTTTTAAATATTTTTTTTTTTTGTTTTGAATTCAAGCTACTTCCAGCAAAAATTGGAGGACAGAGGATCGGGAAAGAGAGAATATCGAGAGAGAGGAAATAGTGGGTGACGAGAAAGAAAGACGGAGAGGGCGAGGAGGTGAGGAGAGAGAAGACACCGAGGGTGATGAGATAGGAAAAAGAAGGCGAGGAGAGAGATAAGACAGAGGGTGATGATGTAATTAAGAAGAGAAAGAAGAGAGCGTTAGGATGAGAAAAAAGCAAAAATAAAGATCTTCAGAAGAAGAGAGAATTTTTAAAAATTCATTTTTAGTGTTTTTGAGATATAAATTTTCTAAAAACTTATTCTCAGTGTTTTTGAAAAATGCCTTATATTTTTAAGTTAGTTTTAAATCTATTTTTTTTTTAAAAAGTCCTGCCAAATAAGAATTCAAAATTTAGAACTTAAAAAATGTTTGTAAATTTAAAAAATTGAACTCGAGTAAGATTCCAAAACAAACTAAATATATAAAGATATTTTGTTACATTTTTTTAATGACAATATTTTGTTTTAAAAAAAGTACATAATATAATACATTTGTTTTTTTTTGTGTGTCGGATATAATATATTTACCTTAACTGTACCAACAGCTGCGATGGCCTCGACTAGGGCAATCTGGTCCAATATTGTCGCACCGCCGACGGCTGATATTACTGTCTCGATTTCATGCTCTCTCAGTATCTTCTCCATTAGGGTTTTATCAGATATCAGCCCCTGAAAATGGTCGATATTACAACATATTAAAACATGGTAAAGTGCACAAAAAATATGAACATGTAAAGTCATAAACAATATTTTGCAAACGTTTATGTACAGAATTTTCATACGTGTAAGATTATGGCGCCTTTGTGTTTGAAGGACTTGACGGTGTCAGCCTTAGAAGGGTGAAGAGGGCCGGGCCGGACGAGAACATACGTGGGTTGGCCAGCGGCGAGGCTGGCTTCAGCTACAAACCTCCCGATGAAACCGGTGGCACCGACAATGAGGACTCTGCCATTTATGGCAACAGAAAGAGAAGGTGAAACAGTCATGGCTGCTGCTGCTGCTAGCTCTTCCTTCCTGCTACCGAGTGCCTTGACTTTTCTTCTTCTTTGTATGTTTCTTTTTGCCCTCAAGTTTGAAAAGTCCTTTTTTCCCAAGTTATTTTTGACACGACTGGGGCATGCGAAGTGTGTGAAGTAAGGGAGGAATATATGTTGTCTATATATAGATGGATACTTTGATTTTGTTACTATTTTTGCCATAAGGCAAAGGGAAGGCCCGTTGATGTAATTTCATCTACCCTTCAACATCTTTGTAGGTGTATTTTTATCGTATCATATGATCAAATTTTGAAGTGTAGCTGACTATTCTGCTTCATGCGTTGACTGATAGCTGTAGCTATATACAAACAATTAGCAAGCTCTTCTTTAATTATTTTGTAAGATTTGCAAGAAGTTTAATTAATTGTCCAACTTCAACGGAGGTCCATCCTCTAGGGTTTAACATCAACGAATTTTGTTTACTTATGGAGTTGAAGAAAATCAATTCACAGTCATGGTGTACATTCTAGAAGGCTAAGAGTTGAGATTATTCCGTAGTCTTAAAAAGGCAACTCCAAGCAAGCAATGTTTTATACTTTATTAGACAAGAGAGAGGAGAACATTTATCATACACAGACTTATCTTACTCAGCAAAAATGTTGTTTTCACGATTCGAATCCATGACCTTTTCATCATAGATGAGCAACTTTTCCATTGGTTTCTTGAAGAGTTGTATAACTCCATTTGAATTACGGGATTTGCAAAAATGATTTGGATATGATAATGAGGCTTAGTTTGCAACATTAACGAAAAAAATGTAAATGTATTTTAAATAATTAGATGCAATACATTTTTTGACCAAAAAAAAAAAATGCAACATTTAACATGCATGTAATGAAAATAACTGCCTGCTATGAGTCATTTGAAATGCATTTGTCTTCCGTTTTTTCGTTGCTCAAATATAGGATAAATGGACTGCAACAGTCTAAACAAATAATTTGACATTATAATATATTATCTAAA